CCGAATCGAACCGTAAGTACTATGTAATCGGTCTTACTAAGGACCGGGACGGACCGAACCGGACCGGTGCATCCCTAATGAAACACTCTAACTAAAAAAAAATTCTTCAAAAGTTAAAGATAAATATATTAAAGCTATAACAAAAAAAACTTATTCTTAACTATAAAAGCCGATATTCATACATACTGTCAAAGACAAATATGCTAAAACCATAATAAGGTTGAATTCTTAGTCATGTGAGATGATTTCTTTAATAACTGAATCTTCTTAAACCAAAATTTAGGATTTTCAAAATAATGCAACATTATGCGAAGAAATTGAAAAGCATAATCTTGATCTTGTGTAATTAAACAATTTTCTGTATATCTTCCTAACAAAAAATGTAAATTATTTAATATAACTATTTATCTAACTAAATATATTATAGTGACATCTCATACATATAATTTCAGACCAGATCCAGTAATTTAAAAAACACTTGAAATAATTAACTATATGGCAGCAAAATGAATAAGTATTATCAGATATTTAACATTGTTTTCTTTTTTATATATAAGTAAACAATACCGAATATCTAATTATCATGTGACAGTTCGTTAAATATCTTCTAAACATACTTTGATATAATCAATTTTCTAATAAAGTAATTTTTAATTAATAACATTAGAACGAATTATTTTATTTGAATCATTGAGATTATATGCATATCTACCAAGCGAAGGTTAACTATTTTTTAATATAATCAATCATTTAATTTATTGTCTGGAGTGAAGTGGAGGACTCATACTTCTATGTGCTTTGATGACTGAAATTACTATTTTGATGCATCTATAATAAAAAGATCAAAAATGTAGTTTCAGCATTTTCCATCTATAACGCTGCGTGTCTATATTTGTATATTGTATAAAAAAAATTATACACGTTTATGTGTTTGTATAAGATGACAATAATGAGCTTCAGACTTTAATCAGTTTTCAGTTCCTAGTGATATAATAGCGATATTTATAATTTTATAATTAATTTGATATTGTTTATTACTATTTAATTAATAATTTCAAAAGCATATCTTCCAAGATATTTTCAAGTGAAAGGTATATCATTTTTAATGTAGTCAAGGATTAATTAATGATTTTAATTTTTATATGATTTAATTTTTATTCTACATATTTAACAATAAAAAATCGGCGAAAGCGTATTGTTATCAAATTGGATAATTGTTAAAATCGTCATCCAATCTTTTAGGCGAAAAGTATTATTAGATATTCGATATTGTTTATTTTTTTAAACAATGCCAAATATCTAATTATTATGTGACAGTTCGTTAAATATCTTCCAAGCATACTTTAATATAATTAATTTCTTAATAAAGTAATTTTTAATTAATGATATTAGAATGAATTATTTTTATTTGAATCATTAAAATTATATACATATCTACCAAGCAAAGATTAACTATTTTTTAATGTAATCAATCATTTAATTTATAATATAATAGCGATATTTATATGATTTTATAATTAATTTGATATTGTTCATTACTATTTGACTAATAATTTCGAAAGCATATCTTCCAAGATATTTTTAAGTGAAAGGTATATCATTTTTAATATAGTTAGAATTAATTAATGATATTAATTTTTATATAATTTAATTTTTATTCTATATATTAAATAATGAAAAATTATTAAAAGTATATTGTTATCAAATTGGGTAATTGCTAAGATTGTTATCCAATCTTCTAAGTGAAAAGTATTATTTTTTAATGTAATCAGAGATTAATTAAAAAATTGCCAAAATGTATAACTACCAAATTTGGTAATTATTAAAGGTATATTATAATTAATGTAATCAGTTATTAATTAATAATATTATAGTGATATTAATGTAATTTTTTTATTGCTTAATAATGAATGAGTTCAACGTTCGAAGGAATATCTTCTATACAAAAAGTAATTAATTTAATATAATCATTTATTTAATAAAATAATTTTTTAATTTAATTAATAGATATTAGGATGATGAGGGTAAGATTAATATATAAGCAGTCAATATCTTTTAATTTTTCGTCAAAAAAGTTTATCAAAACATGGGTAAAAAAAAGCATTTGCTGAAACCAAAGAGCAGTAAAGTGGGTATTAAAAAGTCTAAGAAGAAGTTACATAAACATAAGAAATGAAAATGTAAAGTTTATAAAAAGCAGTAATTTTAATATATCATTAATACAACAATGATCTATTATTTAGTAGAAGTGAGTTACATTGCGCAAGTAGTTGCTTAAGCTGTCACAGCAGTATTTAGTAAGTGGAAAGGAAGAGCAAGATCACTATCGCTCTCAAGATCTAGTAGCTCATGAGCTACTAGTAGCGAAGATGAAAGTGAGGTAGAAGATAAATTGGTTAAAAGAAGAAGAGGTAGATTGGTTAGTAAGAAAAAGGTAGATCAGATAGTAGAGATAGTAGTAGGTCAGTTAGTAGGAGCACAAGTAAAAGCACTAGCAGGTCTAGTAGTAGTAGCAGCGGTTTAAGTGAAGATATACCAAAAGTATTGACAGATAAACAGAGGTCTCACTTACGAGTAAATATTATTTGTCTCACATTTGTGTGTTTGTCTGTTTTTTACTTTTATTATTATTATTGTTATTATAATTAATTTACTTTTATTAATATTATTATAATTAATTTAC